TGCTACCTAGGACACAAGCCACCCGGACACAAGCCACCTAGGAGAAATGCTACCCGTACAAAATCCACCCGGAAAAAAGCCACCTGAACACAAGCCTAATATAGGAATGCAACCCGGACAAAACCTAGACACCTAGTTTTACCACAATATAGAGGACAATTACCACCCATATTGACATCAATGAAATTGTTTATTTAAATTTCATAAAGTGTTAAATTTTGCTGAAAAAAAAGGCTGACTTATATATCTATAACATCTATACTTTACTTTTTAGTATATTTTTATCATTTTACTATATTTAACTATTTCCAATATATTCGTAGGGTTCACAGGGTAAGAGCCACTATCAGAGAGAGGGCAGAGACATGGGAGGAACCGGCCCAGCCTGACAGTAGCTGCTATCACCATCTCAGAGGGAGCCAGTGCCAGGATGGCGCCTGTCCCAGATATACCCCGGAACGTGCGACGCCAGAGATGAAGGGTTGACGGTGCGCTACCCGAGCCAGAGATCCCAGCAGCAATGCCGATACCTGAATAGTATAAGACAACAGGAGCTGGTAAGCAGTTTCTTTAGTACGATGGCGGCGTAGACAACCCCAACCGAATCCTCATCTTTTCGACGACAAGGAATCTCGACCTCCTCGCACGTTCCCATCACTGGTTTGCTGATGGAACATTCAAAACGGTCCCTAAACTCTATTACCAGCTTTTCACCTTCCATTGTTTGACCAGCAATGTTGTGTTTCCTTGCGTTTATGCTCTCACGTCCAACAAAGAGGAGAGACGACATACAGGGAAGACTGTGCCCCAGACTGATACTGATGCTAGACTTCAGAAAGTCATATGTTGTGTCGCTGCCTCTGAATTTCCAGGAATCGAGGTAAAGGGATGTTTTTACCACCGGGTCCAGAGTGCAGGGCTTCAGGCAGAATATGCAGCATTGTACATTGACTTGTCAGCCAACCTGTACCTCTCTGTCACTTTCATTAATTACTGCATATGACATTTATAGCCTTAATTGGTCAACCCCTTGCTGTGTCTGCCATTACATCAACTGGTCCAAGTAAGTGCTTTTGATTGTTTACCTGTCCATCAACTCTTCGTCTGTTCATTGTTGTCTATAATTATAAATATGTTCATATCTATATTGTCACCAGTCCGGTATTCCGACTGTCTGTGTAGGGACGACCGCCAGCAGGATAATGCCGTTGGTAGTTGCTGATGTTTACACCAGTGGCCTAAAGCCGAGATACAACTGTGTATCATCGGCATAAAAGTGAAAGGATAGGTCATGTCTTCTGGCTATTTCTTCAAGAGGAAGAGTATAGATTGTGAACAATACGGGCCCTAGGACTGATCCCTGAGGAACTCCATATTTAAGGTGATGCTTACTTGATACTGAGCCATTGCTTGGCACTGGTCAGTTAAGTACGCCTTGAACCATGACAGAGCGTTACCTTTGATTCCAATGACGTTTTCAAGAAGGGCAAGGAGAATTACATGGCCAATGGTATCAAAATCTGCTGATAGGTCCAGCAGGACCAGCACAGCAGCACCCTTAGTATCAACTTCAGTAAGAAGGCTATACACGTTATTACTCAAAGGAACCACCAACGGTGGTACATGAGTTACATTTCACACATAGTTATATAGAAATTACAGCAAGATGGCATACACAACATTCAGAAATCTTGACAAATTTTTTCAGGACATGTATCTTATTATTCCCAACAAGTTGCTTATATTTTGACATGTTAGGCCATTTATAATAATAATCACTGATAAAAGAAGAACGTTCATTCGCCAATGCTTTACATCTAAGTAAATAGTGGAATTTGTCGTCAATTTGTTGAGAGTTACACAAAATCTCTCTACACGAGGTTTGTTCGACCAATGACCCTGTTCTATAGGCAATTTGTGATTACTTGTTCTAAAATATAGTGAAGGTTTATAAATGTTATCTGTGATTAATAAATACTTTTCAAAACATGGTGAATCTTTATTAATGGAATAATAGAAACCTTTAGGGGAATCCCGAATGGCACTTCTGGCCTAGATTTTCGAAGCTCTCTTAGCGCTAAGATAGTTGTAAGTGCCATACATTAACATTAACCTACGACTATCTTAGCACTAAGAGAGCTTCGAAAATCGAAGCCCGGGGCTGCAAAAACTGGTCCTTTAAAATTAGAACCACTGTTGCAGTAAACCATTCTGTTGACAATAGATGTGGACGTTCAAAACAATGCGGGATACCACAAGTTCTTAAATATCTTTGATGTAATTTAACTAAGGATATGAATAGCTATGTGTACGTTTACTGATCATATAATTTAGCATAAATGAGGCAAGTGTATTGGTAGGATTAGGACATGATAACTCGCACCAGTATGCTATAGCACGTTTATCTATTTGTATGCGTAACGGTTCTCTCTCAAAATCACCGTAAACCATATAGTTGGGTGTTGACATCCTCAGACCTGCTGCAAGCTTTAGAAATTTCATGTGTTCACGTTCAATTAAATTAGTGTTCTCAAAACCCAAGATTTCACAGCGTAAAGTAAGACCTCATGAACAGCTTTATCGAAAAAAGAGATAAGACAATCCAAAGGTAAATGTAAATTTCTCGCTATTTTTGATAAAGACATTGAGGCTATATTACCAATATCTGCAGCATGTTTGATAGCGGTAATCATTCTTCCGTTTCTATGAAATGTTATTCAGAGGTACTTAAAGGTATCAACAATTTCCAGGTGGCAATGATTATCGAAGAATCTGTTTTTATTTTTGCCCGTTAAACCCGATCCAAATATAAGTATTTTAGTTTTATCTGAGTTAATTTCAAGTTTCCAGAAATCACAATAACGTGAAAACCAATCAAGTGCCGTCTGCAGATGGTAGTTACTTTCGGCTAAAAGTACAGTGTCATCAGCATACTAGCAACACTAAACGTCAGGACGTTTAAGGTAGATGGTCAAGTGATCATTATTGTATTCTTGCTTCAGACCATCACACCGATTACAAGTTAGACATTCTTCAAGATCGTAAACATACAATGAGAAAAGAAGAGGAGATAGGTTTTCTCCTTGACGGACCCCCGACAGACATGGAAAGAAGCTTGATTTCATAATAACACAGGATTTAATGTCATTGTACATATTTTGGGTAAGATTTTTTTTTTACCTTTTACCTCACAACGTAATAGTTTTGTCCAAAGTCCAGCCCGCCGCACCTTGTCAGAAGCTTTAGAGAAATCGATGAAAGCACAATATAACGTCTTGTGTCTATTTTGCAACGAAGTAATAAGACTCTGTATAATAAAAACATTATCTGCTGTTGAAAATCCTTTGCGAAAGACCGATTGCGAATGGGAAATGATTTCAAAGTTTTCACAGAATTTGGTCAGTCGTTCATTGAGAATGGAAGTAAATAGTTTGCCGAAACAGCTAAGTATTGAAATTGGACAGTATGATTAGGATCAACGGCGTTTCCCTTTTTCTTATAAATTGACTTAATAATACCTGTAAGCCATGCCTCGGGTAAAATACCAGTATTTAGTATCAAATTGAAATAGTCAGTATATACAGCTAATAATGTAGGCGATGATGCAATCAGGTATTCATTCGTATCACATCTAAGCCAGGTGTTTTGTTTTTCTTGAGTTTGTTTAAAGCCGACAGTAGTTCATTCTCTGTAATAACTCCATTTTTAAAAAAACGAGATAAAGTAATAGCAATGAATTTCAGTTGATATTAATTTACCCACGACAAATGGAGTCTCAATAAAACATCAGAAATTAAGAACCAATTATACAAGGACAAATCATCATATTCTGGGGTATCATCAATATCAAATTCACCATTCATATACTCTCCCAAAAAAGAAATGTATCATGAAAATAGCAATTTCAGGTAGCAATGAATTAAAACGTGATTCAGTTTACAAAATGTTTTGCTCTGTTTATGAGTCCTATGATGTTTATGTTTTGAAACATCACAACAAAACGCACCATCCGTAAAATACCCGTATTTAACAGCATGACTTTCAATTTCGGCGTGTAGTGTCACAGAACACACAATTCACATGCAATGCACGTGAAAGTTGGGGATCAGATAGTCTCAATGATGGGTATAAAAGGTTGATCGCTGTCTGTCGAATATTCACTGTATTTGGAATATTGTCGACGAACGCAAAATGCCACGTCTATGTGAAGCTAACCGTCATATCGCCATTGGTTTGCTTGAAGCTGGCAAGTCTCAACGTGCAGTTGCCCGACGCATGAATGTTCACCAAAGCACCATTTCACGGCTCTGGGAGAGATATCGCCGGCAGCAGATGCCCCTTGTAGTGGGCGACCTCGTGCGACCACTGCGGCGCAGGATCGCTACATCCGGGTACATCACCTGCGTCATCGAACAGTACCGCTCGACAAATACCCGGATTGAAGAGGCTTTCTGCACAGACCGTCAGGAACAGGTTGAGAGAGGCTGGTTTACGTGCCAGAAGACCTTATTTTGGCCCTGTGCTTCGACAACAACATCGTCGACATCGAGTTCAATGGTACACCAACGTTCAGGCCTGGAACCTACCGAATTGACGTAGAATCTGGTTCAGTGATGAATCACGATTTCTATAGGAACAACGCGATGGAAGAATGCGGGTGTACAGACGTCGGCGTGAATGTTTCGCCGACGCTTGCGCTCCCCAGGTGGACAGATTCGGCTGGGGCAGTGTTATTATGTTGGGAGCAATCACCTGCCGTAGGAGAAGTGATTTGGTGATGATCCAGGGCAACCTGACAGCTCAACGGTACTGTGACGAAATCCTACGCCCACACCTCCTTCCAATCATTGATCGTCAGAGGGAGTTGTTTCAACAGGACAATGCCAGGCCCCACAGAGCACGTCACACTAGAGACTTCCTCCAGAACCACAACATCAATGTGCTCCCCTGGCCCTCAAGATCACCGGACTTAAACCCGATCGAACATCTGTGGGATGCCCTGGACAGACGGGTGCGACGCCGTAACCCTCAGCCCCAGACACTTCAGCAACTCGCACAGGCACTACAGGCAGAGTGGGCTGCGATTGGGCAACACGAGATTCTGAGACTTATTCGTTCGATGCCGAGGCGATGCCGTGCAGTTCTTGATGCCCACGGTGGTCACACGAGGTATTGACTTCAGCGCCACCACACGTCTCCATGTGACACTCAAAATGACTTTCCTCGAGTTGGTGCCAAAGACGGATAAGTCGGCATTCCCAGTATGCAATTTCGCTATATTTCATTGACTCATAAAGCCTACAAGATGTTTCAAAAATAAACATAAAAATACAGTTGAAATTCCTATATGCGTTTCTTCTTTGGGAGAGTATATTTCCACTAATTTCCGTTTCATTTATTTACTGAAAGTAATCATGAAATTCTTCAAGAGATATTTGATCAGTGCTGTCCAATGTTTAGGGTTTAACATTTTCCAAAAATGTCTAGGTGGCGTTTTAATATTGTCTCAAAAACTTTTTCTGAGAAAATGCACGTTCTGCTTTACATAATATTCATACACAGCTTAGATTCCCTACTTTTAAGACGTAACATGCTTAAAGTAACAGACGTATTGCTGTCACTTTTGTTTCTTGAATATTCATTGTTTGCCCGAAAGAACTGACGTCGCTTTTGTTTACAATCTTTACCAAACCACGATTTGTTGACGCGCTTTGCCTCACGTTTGATAGTAGCGTTTTCCTTATTAGGAGCATGCCCAAAAAAAGTCCGTGCTGAGTCAAGAAGCACGTGCGCAATTTTGTTGGCTAATGTGTTTATGACCTCAGCCAGATCACTTTGACCTGGCTGTGTTGACCTTATTTTATCAATGACTTTGTTTACACTATGCTGCTGCAATTCTTCATTATATATTGGCACTTTGCTATTGTCAAACTTGCCTGGTTTTTGAATAGTAGCTTCGTTGTTAATGTTTATACACTGTACACTATCCCAATCAACTTGATTTTGAAACTGATTAATACCAAAACTGAAGCTAAGAGAGTATGGGACAAAAATCATTAACACTAAAATGTAAAAATAATCGCAAAGATCTTGCAGAGGACAAAACATATTCAACAATACTTGTATCTTTACAAGTTCCATATGGCTTTCTGAAAGTCTGTCATAAGGTCTATCTCAGCCATGTCGGCCTTTACACATAAAGTATGACTTTGCATAAATCGAAAAGTTTATGCCCATAATTGTTTGGGTTACCTCTGTGCTTTGTAGCTCTTTGCCTTGGTAAATTGAGATCGAATAGTACAGATTCAGGATCTAGCTCTTGCCTTATCTCATCTATGTCCAGTTCTAAATCATCTATTATGTGCTTACTAAATGAACAATAATCCTGTAGGTGTTTGGTCCTTGCATTAAAATCTCCAGTGAGTATAACAAAGTCAGACTCTGACTCAAACTGACTAAACTATTTTCAATATCTTGGAACATGTCTTCACTTTAATATCTTGAGCTTTCAGGCGGAATGCACACTACACCTATAAACAAGTCCTAGGGTAAATGAAGCAGTTTACTAGATACTCTCAGCCACAACACAGTATCAATATCATAATCAACAATGGACACATTGTCACTATATTCTTCTTTGACAGCCGCACCCATCCCACCGGATCTTCTAGCGAATGATTTTCTATTTTTCAGGTACGCTTTATAACCACTTATAGCAATGTCATTTAAAGAGTCAGTCTTAGTTTCCTGTAGTCCTACCATATCATATTTGCCTATAAAATCAACAAAATCAGGGTAATCCAGCCTGTTTCTCAGGCCACACACATTCAAGCTGACACATTTCAGGTCATCAGGTTGGATCACAACTCCAGTTCTACATCTTGGTGCAGGATTGTAGAAATTAGCTGTTGTTTGATGAGGGACGTGCTCAGTACCACCGTCTTCCCCCTAGGTAAGTCTTGGTGTCGCGGCTTGTCTGGGGAATTGTCCTGGGGCAGGCCTGTATGGCGGAAGGGTGGGCACAGGGTACAGGGCGTTGTCCACGTATAGTTTGTCCACGACAACATGAGCTTTCTTGTTGTTTTTCCTGGCTTCCCTCATAAGTGGGAATAAGACATCTCTCCTATATCTACTCACTTCATCAGGGAACTGGTCCACCATTCGGTATGGTTTACCCTGGAGTTCCCTGCCTGCCCTTTGCACTCTATCCCTTTCTGCAGTTATATTGAACTTAGCTATAATGGGCCTAGGTCTGGTAGAACCGCCACTAGCTTTCCCTCTCTCTATGGATGTTTATCAGATCAGCATCAACCTTAAGTTCATCCTTAATACATGTTCTCAGTATCTGTTCAGTATCTTCAGGGACTTGTGGTGTGTCTTGTTCTTCGATTCCAGTGAATATAAGATAATGTCTCATTGATCTACAACGTAGATCTATCGTATATTCCTTGGTTCGAAGATTTTGTGCTTGTAGATCAGCAATCTAGTTGGGTTCCTCTGAGACTTGCTATCCAGTCACCCAACTTAGAACTGACGAATTCTACACTCCTTTCAACAGTATCTACTTTAGACTTTAGATCGTCTAGCTCTGCTACTTTGATCTCAAGGGGCGGTGGGGGTAGCTTAGTGGTTAAAGCGTTGGCTCGTCACGCCAAAGACCCGGTTTCGAATCCCCACTTTGGTACATTGTGTGAAGCCTATTTCTGGTGTCCCCCGCCGTGATGTTGCTGGAATATTGCTAAAAGCGGCGTTAAACCAAACTCAGTCACTTTGATCTCAAGGCGAGAAACTTTACTTTGGATATCAGAGACAGATTTGTCGATACTGTCAAGCTTAGACAGTTTACTCTCTATATTACTGAGTGAAGTAAGTATCTGTGAGTATTAGCGGGACTTTTCTTCTTTGATATGGGCTCCTGGGTTGGGGGTGTATTTGCGGAACTCACTTTCTTGTGTTAATTGGAACAGAGGTTGATTTCTGGGTGAAAAGAAACAAGTAAGCTTCGGGGCTTTTAAAACACAACCTACCCTGTCATCTTGCTAACATGGGTACAATGTGTGAAACCCATTTCTGGTGTCCCCCCGCCGTGATATTGCTGGAATATTGCTAAAAGCGGCTTAAAACGCAACTCACTCTCTCACTCACACACTCAAAGCAAGTCAGTCAACACGAACTTGAACAGCAGTAACATGTTCTACAACAAAGAAGGCGTTACATAACTCTGGTGATTGCGAGGTCATGGATACCTGCCGGCTGTGAGCGCAAATAGCTATGGATGAACAGGTAACAGGGTATGCCTACCATGATGAATGACTTCGTATCGAGTGAGTAAATCACACGTGCTACATTGTTCAATATTCTGAACATAAATAACATAGTGATCTGCGTCAAAACAATAACACCGGCGGGTTGCATGTTTTGCACGTGAAACCAAAAATAATCATAACACAAACAAACGCAAAGGGGTCAGTGTAGACAAAGCTTCTATTGCCTGATGTTAAACCAAATTTAAGCACATACATAATGTCGAGTCTGTGCAACAAGACAAATAATCCACAGTTATTGCCAATATAATTACTTTGTGAACGATACCATCAGGAATATAATCCACTTGCCGAGAAAGTTGCTATTTTAAAACATGAAATAATAGCAATGAAATTCTGCTGATATTAATTTACCAACGACAAAGGGAGTCTCAAAAAAGCATCAGAAATTAAGAACCAATTATTCAAGGTCAAGAACGGTTGCTTTGATTGTTTATGTCAATGCTTTCGCATTGGGCAAAACAGCAAAACAATAACACTAACGTGTTTTACACGTGCAAACGTAGATAGTCATAACGTAAATAAAAGCAATTGGTACAATGTAAACAAAACTTCTATTGATTGATGTTTGACAAAATCTAAACACATACATAATGTGAGTCTTAGTGCAACTAGACAAATAACCCACTTCGTAGTTGCCAATATAATTGTTTTATCAGCATTACCATCGGCAGTTTAATCCATTCACCGAGGAAGATGCTATATTAAAGATGAAGTACTAGCAATGAAATGTAGTAATTATAGGATATCAAACGAGCTTCCCCTTTCATATCAAGTTTATGTCCCGAGTGAAATAATAAACCGAGTGAAATAATTTTGCTTTATCACGAGCTTTAGCGAGTGACAAAGCAAAATTATTTCACGAGGGACATAAACTTGATATGAAAGGGGAACGAGTTTTGTATCCTATTTATTACCCACGTTCTAAAAATGAAAATATTGTTAAAATAAAGCAATATCTTGCTTTCCTATATAGATACGAAAGCCTAATGCTGCCACTTTTGTGGCACAAATATTTTTTTTCTGCTACAATTCTTGTTGCTTCGATTATGTACTCGTTACTTCGAGTATTTTCTCGTATTTTCTATAATTTTCTCGTTACTTCAAGTTTTTTCTCGTTGCTTCGAGTATTTTCTCTTCGCTACTTCAAATATCTTTTCGTTGCTTCGAAAATTTCTCGTTGCATGAAATTTCGAGTATTTACTCGTTACTTCGAGTATTTTCTCGTTTCTTCAATTATGTTTTCGTTGCTTCGATTAATTTCTCGTTACTTCAAATTTCTTTTAAAAACTTGAAATTTCAAATATCTTCTCGTTGATTCAAGTTTCTTTCAAAAACTTGAAATTTCGAGTATTTACTCGTTGTTTCAATTATTTTCTTGTTGCTTCGAATATTTTCTCGTTGCTTCGAATATTTTCTCGTTGCTTCAAGTTTCTCTCAAAAACTTGAAATTTCGAGTATTTACTCGTTACTTCAATTATTTTTTCGTTGCTTCTCGTTGGGAGTACCTAAAGCTCGGGCCAAGAAAAGTCGGGCCGGGTCGGGCCACCGGGTACTACTAAAAATGGATTGCAGAAAATTAAAACGAAATCTACACATTTGGGGAGAAACACTTCCTGCCATCACAAATGTATAGTTTGATTGAAAATGTATGTTGAACGATGAAATGAAAAGAAAACTATGACTA